GGAAAGAGGGGAGGAAAGGGGACAGCAGTCATCCTGGCACAGCTCTGTGGGGAAGAGGAGCTTGTGGGCTGGCAAAGGGGTGGGCTCAGAGAGGGACCTCGGTTGGGAGTGCGAGGGACGAGGGGGAACCGTGCGGACGCCCTGGCTAAAGTGTTGTTGTGTGCCCAGCTGAGGCTCAGCTCGAGCTCAGGCATGCCAGCACTCAGCCGTCCTTTCTAACCAACTAAATTTAACCTTTGCAGGCCACTGCCCCTTGCACTCCCAATGCTTCCTTTCGGTGCTCCTGTGTCCTCAGCACACCGCTTGTTGTAACAGTCACCAAGCTGCAAATGCCACAAAATTATAGTTTTTCAGGAAAACAGTTCTTGCACGAGAGCCCCAAATAAGCACCTTGCACTAGACAGCGATATATTTAAGTCGCACTGCAGAAGGCTTCGCGTTCAAGGCAGCCTTTCAAAAGCGCTGTGTTGTGTCCAGTTCCAGCACAGAGAGAGGCTGCGTGCCCCGTGCTGGGAGAGCAAACCCAGAGTCCTGCTCTGGAGCGGCCAGTGCAGTAGGAACAGCAGATCTTTCCGAGAAGCCACTCAGAACGGGATATAAAATTAGACAGTGATAAGAGAGGCATCTGCCAGGCTCAGGAAGGGTCCCTGCATTTGTCTGGTGGAACCAGATGCTGAAAATAATACCACAACAGAAACCAACCAAAAACTCCTACAGCTGGGTCTGCCTCTGCTGACCTATTTTCCAGCATGGGGTTGGGGACGGCCAGTCTGGGAAGGGGCACTGCGTCCCTCCTGGGGAGCAGCACGCTGCGGTGCAGAGATGGAGAGAGCACAGGGAGAGCTGGCCTGGAGCACCAGGCCTTTCAGCAGAGAAAGGGATCTCCTTGGCTGTTCATGAAGCAAAGCCCCTCTCCCAGCTCTGCCAGTGGCCGTCCTGGGCGACCCGGGAGCCCTCCCTCTCCTACCACGTGCAGTGCTGATCCCAGCAAAGAGATCTTCACCGGGACAGAGGCATGTGAAGTCCTTCCAGGGAGGTCTGCAACGGGGAGAGACTTGTGCTGACAGGGTTAAAGCCGCAAGTTGGATTCAGTAAATGAAGGAAAACAATTTTCCTGTATGCTAAGCGCAGCAGATGAGATGCACTCAGCTTCTATTTAGGGCAGCGTCAAAATTAGCAGCGGGCCAGAGAGGAACATTAGCAATGTGGGAGCTGATCAGGGAGGGGAAAAACCCCTCTTGCCTCTTTCCACGTGCTGATCCGCTAATGAAACAGTAGCTCAGACAGACCCTCTGAACCGTCAACAGTTGCACCTTGGAAATCAAAGCTTGCTTGGGCTTGAACCAAGGATGAACTACATCTATCACAGCTCTGCTACGTTGGTTTGCATGACCCAAATTTCAGGCTAGAGGAGGAAGCCGGCTCATTCACACCAAACCTTCCTCTAGCTTCCCCGCAACCGCACAGAGTAAATCAGAGCAACTGCAGGTCCACAGGAGGTTTTGCCTTGCAGGGAGCAGCCGGGCAGTGCATTGGTCAGAGCCCCCAGCTCATGGCTTCCCCCCCACAGAGACCAGATTCCCCCTGAGAACATCCTGCCAGGGACCCTGCCATTTCCCCTGTCAGGATCTCTGCTCAAAACGTGCCCAGGAGAGGAAAGGATGCTTTGAATCAGTAGCAAGAGCAGCCGGTGCATATGAAGTGTGGGACGGGGCTGGCTGCATGCCTGGGTACCTCCTGGTACGGTGGCACCCGGAGGGGCAAGGAGGCCAGTGCCCGCGGGCCAGCGTTAGGGCTTGCACGTGCTGCGCCAGCCTGGGACGTGGGGTGCCGCAGGGCCCGCAGCAGCACCTGCTGACACCAGGCTCCCTCCAGCATTGCCCCAGCCAAACCGCGCCCCAGGCCTGCACCCCTCTAATTAAAGTGCCCAAATATGACAAGCCACGGAGCGCTTGGCTCCCTCCACTCACAGTCTGCTCCTGGCCCCGAGGAATGAGCTGCAAGGGCAGATGGATGTGCAATCACACCCTGGGGCCCACCATCTGCTACCGAGCTGTGCTTGCCCAGGGCTTGGCACATCCAGGATGGTCAGGAGGCTTCCCAAGAGCCAGGGCATCCCCTAATGGGGCTGAGGAACAGTCCTGCGATAGCACAGACACACAACAACCGGTCACCATGGGCCCAAGACCCAGAGACCTAAATAGTTCCTGGGCAGCAGAGCTTTGGTTTCCAGCCCCGAGATCACTTCTCACCCCACGGCTGGTGTCCCTGCCTGGCCTCGTCACCCATCCTTCACGTCTAGCACCACAACTACACAAATTCTGCCAACTGTTATTTTCCTCCGGTCAGCCAGCCTCCATCACGGGCAAAGCAGCAAACCAACCCCTTTTGTGCTGGGCAGAGAGACCCGAGGCTTTTGCTGGCACCTGCGGACCGGGGGCTGCTGGCGCTGCGGAGATCACCCCTGGGGCAGCTTCGGCTGCAAACATGCTCGCCCTCAGCATGGGCAGAGAGACACACACCTCTCTCCCCACATGCGGACCAGGACAAGCGTGGAGCCTCTGCTCCTGCTCCCCGACCCCGGGCAGGACAGGGACGGCCACCATCCCAGGCAGGCAGAGGTCCCATACCTGGGGGTCAGAGCTTTGTTCCCATTTTCTGCAAGTGGTATTTCTACCTGGACGCTGCCGGCTCATCAGAGAACTGAGCAACCTGGCTAAGGACAGCCTGGGAGCAGGACTCACTCACCTGAAACAGGCCTTCCTCACTGGAAGGCATCCAGGCTTTTGCATACATTCATTTGCTGGTGGATGAGCTGTTTAACCTGCCAGGTTGGATCCAGGATGTGTAAAACACAGCTGAGGTGTTGGAAAGACAACGAACAGCAGCTGCGGGGAGTGATAGGGAGCCTGCTGCTGCACCTCTCCCTGCAGCGATGCCCCCCCAGGGAGCCCCTCTGCTCGGCTGGGACCGGCAGCTCTTCAGGAGGGGTCAAGGGAGCCCAGTGCTGGGGCTGCCCCAAGCCCCTGCCTCTCCCAGGCTGCAGGTCACTGCCCTGCGGAGCACAAACACACCATTTTTCCTCTCCGATAAACTCTCACTCATGCTAAATAAAACCTTTCACAGTCTCTGGCCAAGAAGGTCCTGGGCTGCCTGGCTCTGCCCCCCCGGCACAGGAGTGCAGGGCACAGACCAGCATCTCATGGGGAAATCCCTCATGTTGGCTGCTCCAGATATACAGGTGAGGCCAAGGCTGAAGCGATCCCAAGCAAAGCAAAACAAAGTCAGAACAGACTCCTGTGCCTAAAACCCCTTGGCCATTTTCACTCGGATTCAGAAAAGCCATTAAACAAATGTAGAAGGCCTAATTGCAAAAACTAAACCACTTTCCAGCTCCCAACACCCGAAGCCACAGCCCACAAATGCCCCGCAGGTTTCTGCCCTTGGACACCGCTGCCCACCAGTGCCTCTGCAGCGAAGCGCCTTTCTCTGACACGTTCCCATTCCTAAGCCCCATCCCGGGATCGGCAGAGAATGTTTTAATTATTTCTGTGCTAGTTTCACATGGTGTTCCCATGCCTGAGGGCCCTGTGGAGCAGGACATGGTGCTCCTTGGCAGGCAGATGAGGGGGGTCCTCGTGCCCGACCCCACGCACACATCCCAGGCCAGAAGCAGTAAGTCTTTGGTCGGAGCAGGGCAATGCCACTGGCACCATGGCTTGCGCTTTCTGCTCCACAACGCTGTTCCAGCTCCCAGGCAACACCCTGTCCCCAGTCTCGCTTCGGCACCCGAGGAGCCCATACCCCCGGCTGGCTCCAGCTGTGCTCCCCCACCGCGCACCGGCACCTGCTGTTAGAAATACCCTCAACTGAACAGCTCTGGCAACGGCGGCTTCTCCCACAGCTTCCTGCTGCCCCACAGGGTTTAACGTCAGCTTGGGCAGAGCTGGAGGGCTCCCTGGGAAGCAGCAGCAGCCAGGGCGGGATGCAGCTCTCTCCGCATTTGCTGCTGAGCCCCACCAAAAGCCTGTCTGATCATGGCTGCGCAGCAACACGCTCCCAGGTTGCTCTGGGACAGGGCTCCAGAGGCCCCCAAGGACCACAGCAGATGATTTCTGTGCTGGTAGAGCCATGGCACATCCCCCAGCAATTCCTGCCGCTGCCACGTGCCAAAAGTACCTGCCGTACCATGCACGGGTGAAATGTCCCCTTCGAAGGGAGCGTCGCCCAGCAGACCAAACTGCAGATGCTCTCATGAGCTACCCAAAGGGTCAAACCTTGTTCCTCCGTCAGATCAGCTTCTCTTTTCCCAGCCGGTGTCCCCACGGGGCGCTGGCCTGCCCCTTTGGTCCCCCTCCTCTCCTCCAGGCTCAACTTCTTGCAGACCTGCCCCGCTGCAGCAAGGACTCGT